CTAAACCCTAAACCCAAACCACAAGCCCTCTAAGCCCGAAGCCCTAAACCCCAAACCCAAACCATAAGCCCCATAAGCCCTATAAGCCGTAAACCCTAAGCCACAATACCGAAACCATAAGCCCCCTCAACCCCAAGCCATAAACTCTACCACCCACCAAACACCCGAAGGCATGGTTGGTTGAGGTCCCTGTGTTTCAATAGACTTGAAACCCCGTGGCCTCTAGGTTCTGGTAGTTCAAGGAAACCCCAAACCCCAAAATTTAATTTCAGGAAACCCTCAACCCCGAACCCCAAACCCTGAAAGTCCTAAACCTTAAACCCTGAACCTGCTAAGTCTCCCGTTTACTGCCTCAGCCTTTCAGGCGTTCGATCTGGATAGGCAGGCGGAAAAGAGGTCTCAAAAAAAGAACCCTACGCTCTAAACCCTAAACCTTCTTGAAGGTAACCCCGAAGCACCCCACAGGCGCCTTGGTGGACTCATCGTCGTCTTCGTCCTCGCCGCCGCGGTCGTGAGCTCCATGCAAGTAAGGGTTTCCTAGGAGTAGAATTTGGGTTTAGGGTTTAGGGTGTAGGGTTTAGGGTTTAGGGTGTGGGGTTTAGGGTTTCGGGTGTAGGGTTCTATAAGGGTTTACAGGGGGGTTCCTAGTATAAGGGTTTCCTAGTAATTAGTGGAGCAGGTAGCCTGCAACCTTGTTGGGGTATGCTAATCCCTTTATAGTCCCAAAGGATATAACCTTTAAATCGTTCAGGATACTGGGCAAGTAGTGCTTGCAAGAAGCTGCTAGGCTTCTCAGTCGTGTTGTTACTGGTTTTGCTTTGTGAGAAACCCTAAACCCTAAACCCCCTAAACCCTAAACCCTAAACCCTAAGTTGTTTGGGATTTCTGGAAGGATCTAGGGCTTTAGGGTTTTTGCACAGGGCATTTTTTTCATATGGGTGCAGCAGTGTGAGGCTCAGGGTTTCGGCACGGTTTGTTTGGGTTTAGGGTTTAGGGTTTAGGGTTTAGGGTACGGTATAGGGTTTGGACTTGTTTGTGTTAGGGTTTGTAGTGGGGTTTTGGGTTTCGGTGCTGTTGTGAGCGGAGTTTCGCACCGTAAGTCCAAAAGCAAGCCGCTTAGGGGTTTTAAGGGTGCGTAGTTTAAGCATTGGTGTGACGGTTTCGGGTTTCATGTGTGCTGCATTAGCTTCGGGCTCAGATTCAACGTATTTAGAGCCTTCATAAACTTCAAGCATATTATTCATATTCTTCGTTTACAACCTCCGAGTACGAATTCTGTACTAGGCCACAGAGTTTTTGCTAAATCCTAAATCCTAAACCCTGAACCCTAAACCTTAAGCCCTAAACCGTAAACCCTAAACCCTAAACACTGGTCTATGGCTCTATCCCCTTATAGAACGTTCGTGTTTCTACTCTCAGTTTAGGGCTTA